ATTTCTATATATATGTATTCGTGAGTATATGTATGTATAAATATGTAATATGCATTTAATTTTGATTAATTATTTTCTATTTCTGATTTGTACCAAATTTTTTAAAAAGGTACGTGTACAATATATCATAACATTTCCATAAAATCCTTTATCAAAGCAATTTAGCTCTTCAACTAATTTTCATTTTGTAACAATATTTATTATAAAAACGATTATTTATATATTATATATTTCTTTAGGAATGTATGTAGGTAGGTATTCATGCAATTTATATGTATATATGTATGTTATATACGAGTACAATAATAATTGTTTATAATATTACGTCTTCTTTCATAAAAATATTCCATTTAACATTTTAAGAGTTTTAATATTTCAATATCTTTAATAAAATATTTTTGTACAATTCTGTAAATAAATATTTTTTTTTTCTAAGAGGAGAAAAATAATTTTTTTAAGTACTTTTTTCTTGTGCGTTTAAGAATTTTACTCAAATTTTCTTCGATACGAGTATATCAAGGTACAAAGTTTTTTTCTTTCAAATTAATACAATATTAAATCAATTTAAAACCAAAATTCAATTTTAAATATTTGGACATTTTTCTACTTAACCCACATTGAGAAATACAATCATTATGTTATTTTTTCTTATATAAAAAGCAGCAATTACAATAATGACTAGATGTTCTATATATATATATATATATTATATATAATAATATATATATATAATATATATATATGTCTTTAACATATAAATATCTATAAATTAAGTTTTTTAAACATTCAGAACACAAAGTATCATAAATTATCATATAAAACGCAAAATTTATAAAACAATCAAAATATACTTCGCCACCTTCAAAATAGGTTCCATCAAGTCAAGTATGTCTATGGCACCCAATGCTATACACCTTTTTCGCAAACTGATTAAGGTATGACCTTCAATTCCTTAGGCGAATTTATTAATGGCTGCAATCGACCCGAAATATCTTTCTTGAAATGGTAATTTTAGAGAATAGAAAAAAAATCATATGGAACTATATCAGCTCCTTGTGACTTACCGCAAAGGCCTCTTACAAAAGCCAAAATTAAAAATGTTAATTTTTTAATTAATTATTTTGTATAAATACTTTATACACATATCGATTATACATATTTATATTTAATTGTATATTATATATATATATATATATATATATATATATATATATAACTGTTCCAATAACAAAAACTTTAGCTTCCGTGTTTTTTCTATTCTTATTTTCTATTTATATCTCTATTTGTCATTTATCTGATGACGTAGAATATAATTATTTGATAATATAAAATGATCAGATTTATATTAAAATATATATGGTACATAATACCACTTTTAACTATACAAGTAGGTTCTAGTTCTCATATAAGTTAACGGTATTCTACCAGATAGAAATTACTTTAAAAGTTATTATTATGAACAGCGCGTATAGTCGCTTCAGGGGGTGAATCAGTGGTCCACTATTAGCCACCAGTTACAAATTACCCCAAATAAGTGATTTGGGGTCTATATTTTGTTTAATAATTTTAGATACTAAATAGTATTTAATAATGCTGTATTTTGTTAAATAATATATTTTTTATAGTATTTATGAAATTATTAAAAAAATGTATAAAAAATAACTGTTATTATGACTACTTTTATATATATATAATCGTTCATTTTATTTTATTAATTTTTTTTATATATATTTTGGTGTACTTGTAAATAAGATATTTCAATATTTCAATTCACTTGAGAAATAGCTGGTAAATAAAATATAAAATATATAAAATAGTGTGTTTTAATGTTTGTTAGATCCAACCTATTTTACACTCTCAGATATATCATATACTTCAAACAAAAATTAAAAAATTTTTATATTTATGAATATACTATATATGAATGAACACTTATATCAAATCACTATTAATAATTGCCGCTTTTTATTTTGCCATAATTTTTGTTATATTCAAAATATTTTATTATATAAATTATTCACAATTTAATGAGTTTTTATTTATAAATAAATAATATTATTAATTTTTATAATTTGAAATTATTTTAATTAACTTTTAGTCTTTTTTGTTTAATGTAAAAAATTTAAACTAATTTATTTATTTTTAATTTGAGATAAGTATTTTAATGTATATATGATTTTTGTTTTGATGCATTTTTTATTTATAAAAAAATAAATTAATATTTTTAATATCTTTTCGTAGAAGAAATATTTTTTAAGTATTTTTTAAGTATTTATATATAAAGTATTTTATGGGTGTTAATAATGCTAACACGAAAAAACTTTTTAAAACTTTAGGTTTTTATTTTTAATAAGATAATTAATAAATTTCAATTTATTTTACTTTTACTAATTTATTTTTTCAGTTCCCAAAATTCAAACATATATAAGATTTATACTCTATCTATATTCTTTTTAATAGTGTGAAATTAAATTTTTAAAATTTTTTAATACACATGTAACAAATTATTGTATTTTAAAAATACCTCATTTATATCAAAAGCCATTATGTTTTAAAAAATTTATAAAATTGTATTTCAAAAATACTTTCCGTTTCATATATGTATATATCTATCATCAGGTATAGGTATATTGATAAAGCGATTAACACTTTATAGATTAAAAAATTTGGAATGCTATCATATAGATAATGTATATGATCAACTAATTTTATATAGTTAAATTTTAAGGTTTACAAACTATCGATAATTTGTTTATATTATTAAAATATGTTATCGATTAATATCAGAAATTTTATTTAATAAACGGTTATCGATTTAAGAGTATTTCAAAGAATTTTCTTTTTGTTTTAAATTCTGATTAATATCATATCAATTATTTATTAATCTTTCATAGTGCTATTTCTATCGAATAAAGTTCGGTTATGACAAGAGAACATATCAATCTGACATAGATCAATGCAGTTTTCCTTCGGTTAGATATAAAGATATGCTCTCAAAAGATTTCGATAACAAAAAATCAATTTTTCAAATATTTTTCTAAAATTCTACAAAATAATGGCTTCCAATTTTAAAAACATTCAGTATGTTATATTATGCTTTATAAGGGGCGTAGTAGACCCGATAATCGCAGTACCACATCGCCTCTAAATAATATGGGTATATATGCATATTATATTTCAAGAAATGTGACGAATTTCTTGAAGCCTTTTAAGGTAGTTAATCTCACACTAAACATATAGCAGATTCCATGTCAAAAGCCACATCAATACATTTTTGAATAGGTTTTGCTAATTTAGAATTCAATTTACTTCTTCCAATGAAGCTTCTCTCAGGCCTCTTTAAGAAGTCAGCTTTTCGAATATGGATTGTATTAAAATAGTTAATGTAGTACAGAATTACATATATATTTTTTTGAATTTTTGAATATTTGATATGATAAAAAGTAGTGTTTTTTAAATTAATGTTTATTACAATGAAACTTGTAAATTCATATAAACTTTCTTATATATTTAATGTAATTAAAATAATTTTGTTTTTTATCTTGCTTGTATCACAAAGTATTTTTAAATTATCAATTTAATTTAATTTAATTTAATTTAATAAAAATAATTTTCATATATTTTAATTTTTATATTTATTACATATTATAATATAATAATATCTGCTGTAGCAACATTTTCATAGTATAAAAAATTCAAAAGTTTCAATATGAGTATACATAACTCATTAAAAATAATTTTTTTTAATATACATATATTATTTGTATACATATATTATTTGTTTTTATTATTAATATTTAAATATAAAATTATGTGCGTAATTTTTTAAATAGTGACATTTAATTTTTAAATTATTTTATTAATTTTACAATTGCTTAAATTTTGTTTATTTCAAACAATCGTTAATGCAAAATATTTGCTTCCAAATTTTTTTTTTCTATATATCTACTCTCGGTGGAGTAAATAATAAAAAAGTTTACAAAAACAACAAAATGACTTTATTTAATTCTCAAACAAAGTCTAGCTCCAAACCGGG